TCCTCTGATGCCCTGCCAGCACTGCTTCCGGCCATCCTTAAGCCCGGTTCAGGGTCCACTTAATGTGGACATGCTAGTTTGAAGTAGCAAAACGCTAATTCAAACTAGTTTTTAGTTCTAGATGCGTTAGTTCGAATTAACTAATTCGAACTAAGTTAGTTTGAATTAACGTTGTAGTGTAGACGTACCCTAAGGTGCTACAGGACCACTCATTATTTTGTTAATACATGTTGAGAGTGGCTGAATTTTGACCTGCCAAGACACACACAGGCAGCTTGGTGTGTCAGAAAATAGCAAATTCAAACTAGTTTTTAGTTCTAGATGCGTTAGTTCGAATTAACTAATTCGAACTAAGTTAGTTTGAATTAACGTTGTAGTGTAGACGTACCCTAAGGTGCTACAGGACCACTCATTATTTTGTTAATACATGTTGAGAGTGGCTGAATTTTGACCTGCCAAGACACACACAGGCAGCTTGGTGTGTCAGAAAATAGCAAAAAATCAAAGCTGTCCTTCTATTTATGTTTTTACAAGAGTCTTGAATCGTCTAGTTCACACTGACAAAACATGCACTATATCTCATATAAAAGCCATGAAAGCTTCCTCCCCCTCATTATATGGGCAGATCTGCTTAGAGCTGCATACACAAGAAATATGCATATTCGGTAAAATATGACATTTTACAGGAAAGAAAGTGCATGGCCATAAGTGTCTCATGTCCTATTCATGTACCCGCTGAATAGGAAAACACTGAAGAACTCATTATCATTGTGTGAGTTTGCATTGCTGAAATTATCTGACAGATATCATCCGTAGCACCCAGCAAGCCCAGCTGATATTAAAACACTCCAGAAAAATGAATGCCAGGAAAGTGCAAACCAAAATCAGTGAGGAATTGTACTGGTCAGAAACGGGAACAGAACTTTCATTTCTTTTCCCTTCACACATGTACCTGTCGGCTGTGTCCAACACATGGATTGTATGGCACCAAACTTTCAGCTTGACAGCTGACTGAGTTGTCACAATGATGAAATTGACCAGAAATGACATTGCATTTTGAAGATAACAGTACAGCCGCAAGACAAGCAAAATGGATTTTTAGTCTGCTTTGCTAAGAAAGAGAGGCATTGTTGGAATACCGTACGCTGTACTCCTCCTTATTCATACTTAATGATGTGTCACTTAATAAGTGTGCTAACAATGAGAGCTTAGATGGCAGAATCTTCACTTCTTAGACCCCACATACATCATCTAGAAACAAGTCAGAAGGGTTCAGTTATTTGGAATTTCAGTGTTAATATCAGAGCTGGAGGCTTGTTGCTTTGCCATACCCCTCCCCAGAAAAGCAATATTGAGGTCCTCCAAGCAGGCTAGAGTGGCGGCAAGGGAAGCAACCAATCAGGGGCAAGGAAGGCCATATAAAAGGAGTTGCAGGACAGAGGACTATGCTGGGGCTTTGACATAAGGCGAGGACGCTGCCTCCAGGGAGGAAGCCGTGGGGACACCCCTCACTTCCAGTGGTAACAAACTGTAAGACACTATTGGGGGCACTGAGAAGGGCTCATGCTAGATGTATCCTGGAAGGGGTTTGTTGACTGTGATGCACACAGGTGGTGTGTATGACTCGGCCGGAGGGCTGAGTCCCCAAAGATCCCTCGTATCCGAGAGTGCAGGCACATGTACGTCCAAACTACATGCCTCTGTCGGCAGAGGCATGTAGATTTGTTTGTTCAGCAAAGGTAAATGAAGCCGCGATTTAAACCTCATTCCACGAGGAATAACGGGGCTGCCGACAAAGGGCTTTGATGTCGACAGGAGGAACGTCCAGACTAGCGCACGAGCCGAAAAACAGCTGATCAGCTGTTTGTTGGCTCAGCGCAGCAGCCATGTAC